TGGTATGAGTGTGCACTCTGTCACCCATGTTATGCAAGACACCAAAACTGTAACCAACTTTTCCGGTGGGGGGGGGCAAAACACACAGTTCACAACATTTTTGTCTTTGAATGAGAAATATTTTATTTGGTAGTGCATTTCACCAGAAAGTAAACAGGACAAGAACTAAAAACACACAGGAAGCATATAATTCATGAGTTTGCTTCTCAACGTGGAGGTCAGTCATACCAGCTAACTGGACATTTTCAAACAATAGTTTCACTTAGAGATTTAAACGTTACATCACTTTGGACTCTGTGTGTTTACAGCTTCCCCTTTCTGATCCTTTAAGAGTTTATGAGAAGAAAATTCACTGAATGAGCTCAACTCTGAGTGGGACTGCGCTGAAAGAAATCTCTTCCTCTTCGTTACTAATGTAGCTCCGGACGAGTGGGAGATGAATGGTGGTTGGATGCTGTGATTGATGAGAACAGGGTATCTGCAGGTTTAAGGGAGCCAAATTTAAGACTTTTTAAGACCTTTTTTAAGGCCACTTTGACCAAATTTAAGCTCGTTGTCGTCTTCCTCCGCTTATCCGGGTCCGGGTCACGGGGGCAGCATACCAACTAGGGAGCACCAGACCGTGCTCTCCCCGGCCACCTCCACCAGTTCCTCCGGCAGGACCCCAAGGCGTTCCCGGACCAGATTGGTGATGTAACTTCTCCAACGTGTCCTGGGTTGACCCGGGGGCCTCCTGCTGGCAGGACATGCCCGAAACACCTCCCCAGGGAGGTGTCCAGGAGGCATCCTGACCAGATGCCCAAACCACCTCAACTGACTCCTTTCGATCCAGATCCAAATTTAAGCTATTTTTTAAATTAAATTTAAGCTATAATTTCCAGCTATTGCCTGGAACCGGTGCTAACCACGTCGCGAACGTGGGATTAACCATCCATTTACCATTAAACTTGCACTTCTCCATGGCGCAAGCTCCCACTAGCTTAACCAGCTAATGTGCTCATCTAAAAATAGTCCCCTTTCACAACCAACTGAATGTGTACGGTTCCGCTTATGCCAACATCATACACAGAAAATGCTGAAGACTAACTAGAAATTCACGAAAATGTCATAGAAATAAAATAATCTAGTTCATTGGGTCTTTGGTAATTTAAGACCTTTGGAAACTGTATTTAAGGATTATTTGTCATTTTTAAGGATTTTCAAGGCCTTAAATTTGGAAAAGTAAATTTAAGACTTTTTAAGACTTTTTAAGGACCCGGGGATACCCTGGAGAAACAGTGGCACCCCAACCACTGACACTGTGGGTGGCAATCTCCAGTGGTGTGACCGAACGCATTCATTGAACGATCGTTCGTGAACTTGCTCGTTTGTTTTGTTTTTTGTTAAGGTGAGCTGAACTTGTTCATATTTTGCCTGACAAACATTAAAGCAAGTGCATTCATTCTGGCATGTGTGAACGGGATTTTGATGTTTGAGCTCCAGATCTCCACAGAGCTAAAGCCTAGCTAAAACATCCTGTTAACCACAGAGTTAATAAAAAGTAGAAGCCGCAAATGCAGCCACCGCAGGCAGTAGCAGTCGGTGCAGCACCTACTCTTCTATGCCCATACATAAACTGCATCATTACTTTTCATTTAAATTGCAGTACAGCATATGTGTGATCCAGGGCGTAGGGCAAAGCGGATTAGAAAATATCTCTTTTAGCCCGGTTGACTAGCATTCATTTTTTCGTTCTTCTGGGGACCCATGAGCCGACCGGAAAGGGAGGAGACCTAGGCTCCCTATATCTCAGACAATGGGGCAAAATGAGCTATACACTTTGCCTCACGGTCTGGATCGCACATATATTGTACTTCAATTTAAATGAAAAGTAATGGTGCGTGTGTTTTGGCCACACCTGTCGTGTACTTTGACATTTATCGACTTGTAAACGTTCGTAATCAGCATGACTACAAATCTGACGTTGGTACGTCGCTTATTTGACGTCACCGCCACTGTTAATTTTGTTGACTACATATTTGCGTTTTTTCCTTCATTTTTTGTGATGAATGAATTTTTGCAGACAAACGAAATGACAACAAAAACATACATGCCAATAAGGACACCATTATGGCGAATATTGATCGACATGTTCAATGACGAATGAGACGACAACAAAAATTGACAAAAACAAAAATCCAATCAGAAAATGGGGAAGAACGGAGACCAAAATAAAATAACCAATCAGCAAATGGAACAGGCGGGACTAGACAAGAAAAGAAAAAAAATCAAAGTCTGGAGCCAGATGCTGTTGCTGATGACCAGAGCAAAGTACAGGAGTGAAGGATTAGAAAATATGGACAGATAAATAGATGAATATCAGTTCAGACATAAACACCAGATCAAACTTTTTTCAGCTGATTAACAATTAAAAGTTATGTTTACTCACCAGGAGACAAATCAAGAAGCTAAAAGTTATTTGGCAGAGGAAATGTATGCAGGCAAGAAAAATAGTGAGTTTAGGGAAGTGTGCCAGGCTGCTTGAGAACTTCTTTTGCCACCAAGAACAAACTGAAAATAGCTGTCCCTACAAAACAAAACCTCAGACAGACATGCAAAAGAAAAGACCACAGCTGGGAGAAAAGATCTTCACACAGATGCTGCTTTTGACCGTGTTTGACCTTAGTCAGCCATTTCTATGTTGCCACATCGCATCTTTCTATCTGCTCAGCTTTTATTGTCACATTAGTCAAAAGTTGAATGCATGGATAAAAATAAAGCTGCTGAGGAGAGAAAAAGGAATGCGTCTGGTATTTCAAAAAGGAAACATGCTGTCTATCCGTCCGTGTGCACGGGTAACTTTGCTTTTAAACTTGGATAGTCTAAGTGTGAGAAAGTGGTTGTTGCATGTTGTGAAATCTGTCAGTGAACTAAAGTGGACTCTGTGTGGGGAGGAAGGGCCCCCCGAAACTGGCTGAGGATTGTGAGAAGTAGCAGAAACGCACCCAAACAGAAGGAGAAGAAAAACACGAGGAGGCACGATGCAGCAACAGCAAACACCCCCGCAAAAAACGCTTAGACCCAAAAAGTCTGAACCCCAACCTGCATCTTCTCACCCCCACACCTCCATTCTCTTCTTCTCTACCCTCCTCTTCCCACCCAAGTGTGAGACAAAAGTGCAGCAAGACATCAGGTGTTGCTATGGCAACAAGAGACAGCATGAGCAAGAATAACATGGATGTATGGTGTCATATAAATAACCAGACAAAAAAATAAAATACATAATAAGCTACATTTAGATCATCTCACTGGAATTTTATAAACCCCACCATTCCCATCTCAAGGATCATGTTGCTATGGTTACACAGCAGGTATTGTTGCAACTCTGTAACCAGTTTTCAAAGCTTCACTTTTCTTCAGAGAAACAATAAAAATCAACTCAACTGTACGTAGAAAAGTTTATATCTGAGTTTGAAACTAGTTTTCTTCGAGCTTTGCTCTAAAAGTCAAACCTGTAGTTTTTTAAAGTCACTAATTATAATATATTTTTTCTAAGATTAGATATTATTAACAGGATTCGATATTATATTTTTTTTTTTGTAGTTTAACCGCAACAACGTTTCAGCTGAGTTAAAGCTCAGCAAGCCTGCATCTCACACAATTGCACCATGCGTGCGCAGATTTGGGAGAGGGATTGTGTAGCCACATGATTTTTGACAAAAAGGTCAAAGAAAAATGTGGAAATATTTATCCGGCTTTATTAGTTTGTTAGAAGCAATTAAAGTACAGTCTTTAAATGCATGGTTGTATAGGTTGAGGAAAAATAAACTATAAAAATTCACAGATTGGAAGTTTTAAGAGGCAATTCCAATTTCCTGCTCTTGTAAAGCTCTAACTCACCAATACAAATTCAATTTAGGCCTACTCATTTTTTTATGGTGTTCATTATGCTTATTGAAATCAGCCAGAATTGGTACAAAGGCTTTAGAGAAATGGAAAATCACTATCGGCCCTCAACACCAGAATCAGCCCATCTATTGGGTTTTCAGATCGGCCTATGGAAGGTTTAGTTGATCATTCTAAATTCTGACCTATTCCAGTCCCCAGACAATTTTTGGTGCATGTAAAAAAAATAAATAAATAAAACAAGTGACACAGCCCTTTACATTAGTTATCCTTCATACGGGCAGGTTCAAAGTTTCCAGGGACAAAAATATGTTTTTTTTTCAACTATAATCAAATCAATTTTATCTAAGATTTTCTAGAAGGTGGTTGCTAGGCGACACATTAGCCCATCATGGGTGATTGTAATTTTTACCTGAAGCCCGGATGAGAGGGTTTAGGACGTCACATCGGAACCGGGCCCTAACACCGGACTTCTCGCTTTTAATCATTGGTTATTATTCCATCCTCCTGACGCCTGAGTAGGAGACGAGATTGTGCAAGTCCACTTGGCAGGCAGGCCTACATCTGGAGAGCATTACCTCTGGAGGAGACGTGAAGCCGGGTCGGTGCACGGCTTACACCCCCTGGATCACACACTAGTGTCACGAACGGGCTTTCTTTACGGGATACTTTCAGGCGATTATTGGACACAAAATTACGGAAGAAAAAAACTGGAGGTATAACGCTCTAATGGGGAAACAACAGATTTCAGCGGCAACAAGAGGTGGCCTGCATCAAATAAAGCTGTGAGAAGTCATCCTAAAGTCAAAAATTAGCGAATTAGACGTGGATTGGCAGCGGAATGCAGAAACTGTGGATGCGCTCCTGCTTGCGTAACGTGGACGGATGCGTTTGAAGCCAAAAACGCTGAGAGGTGAGCGAATAGATTCCGGTAACACATTATCCAACATTTTACCTTATTTCCAACATTGAAACCTAGATTTTGAGCCACAAACATCTGCAAGCCGCTCAGAAGCTGTTTGGCAGGAGCCACGCAGCCTCGGAGGCTCTTCCCACGGCGGAAGCCTTTCATTTACCGCTAACCCCGCCGACATGAAGCGTCTCACTCATCCTACCTGCAGTCGCTCCGACGCAGGTTGCCACATATTAGCACAGTCGCTGGGTCTCCGTCTTCACTACTGCGTATTGTCCTGCCGTAGTCCGGGTCACATCTGTCGGCTTTCGCAGCTTCCCTCTGGCCCCTTTGGCTGTGGTCTGCTCGGTAATGAAGGATGTGTTGCTCCGCCTGGGTGTAGTTAACACCCTCACCAGCAGGTGGGGGTACCTGTTTCTATGCGTGAGTCATGTCGGCTTTGTGCTGCATTCATCGCCTGTAGGAATTTCAGGCACTCGCCCTTTGATCCCCTGCGATGAATACGAAATATGTTTTAATCTTTTTTTTCCCACTATTAATAAAGCTTCTGTTACTTTTACTACCAGATAGATTTTTAATGCATACATTCATCACGTAGTCACATATTTTTATTCAAAATTACTTTATTTGATTTAAATGACATATAAGGTGATATTCTGATCAAATTGAATATTTATCGTAAAACAGTCAGCGGAAAAGAGATGAGATGAAATTATATGTCAGATTTTTTTAAATGGATTATTTTCTTAAGGACATAATGAGTCTATACACTTTGAACAACCTCAGTTTGGAGAAACATGAGCTCTGTGAGGGTTTTCTGATGTATTAAATGCCAAGTTTGCTTGTTTTTTTCAACACATTTAGTGATCCCTAAGGAATGCCTGAAAATGTGGAGTCTTATTTCCTAATATTCAAACATTTCCAATCTGATTGGCTAACAGCAATGTGACTCTACCACTGATAAGAAGCTCAGTCATCTGAAATGAGCTCAGAGTAGATTTGCTGCTCCTCCACATCAAGAGGAGCCAGTCAAGGTGGCTTGGGGATCTGGTTAAGGGGCCTCCTGGATGCTTCCGTGAGGTTTTCCAGGCACTTCCAACCCCAAGGAAACCTGGAGAAAGACCCAGGACACGCTGGAGGGACTGTTTCTTGGCTGGCCTGGGAATGCCTTGAGCCAGGAAGGAGCTGGCCCAAGTGGCTGAGGTTGAGGGAAGTCTAGGTATCTTGACTTAGGCTGCTGCTCCCATGAAACGACCCTGGATAAACGGAAGATGGTGGATGGATTAAACAACATTAACAGTAAATTAAATAAATAACTCAAAACCTAAAATAAAATTGCAGGGAGTATTGGAGTGATTAGTGAAACTAAAATGTGTTTATTTAAAAACTCTAATTATCAAAATTCCAATCATTCTGGTTGAGGACAAAGAATGTTTTATCCACAGATTTTCATCTTTTTAGTCTGAAAATCCAACTCACCTGACTGTTTTCAGCAGGAACTGGTATAACATTTACTTTAGTTTTATTAATAAAATGGCTGTGTTGATATTTACTATTTGGAACTCATCTCAAGCCAAAATACATGTTTAACCTTCATAGCAGCCTGAGATCAAAGGTCATGCAGAAGGAACTCCAAAACAGGTCGTCAGTAAAGGTGAGAGGCAACACAAAAAGTGTGTATGTTTGCTTTTGTTTCATGTTTTTGTTTGTTTTCATGTATATTTTATTGTTGGCCATGTGCTGTTTAAATTTTTTTGTACGTGTTCAGCATTTTGGTTTGCCTCTTGGACGATGGAAGGTGCTAAATAAAGATGACGATGATGTGTCTCAACACACGTAATATACCAATGTGTGTCCTGTGACACAACAGTCAGTCTGTGTTTAGTAACTTTGACTTATGGGAACATCTGGGCAAAAGCCTAAGGTCACTGAGGGTGTTCACATTACCAACACTCCATAAACGGTCTTTCCCACAGTCTTTAAAGACCAAGTTCCCTTGTTTTTTCAATACGTTTACAGTGGTCTCTAGTATAAATGAATGCCTTGTGAGTCCGTCTTTCCAGGTAAAATAGTTCTGGCACGCCTGTGTCAGGAAGTAGAAGTCAGCCAGAGCAGAGGGGAGGCTGGGGAGCAGAGGACGGCAGGATTTGGAGTCTTATTTGCTGACATTTGGAACATTTAGCCTCTGATTGGATAACAACAACAAAACTCTACTACCAACTCCATTTGTTTTGCAACATCAATGTTTTAACTCCACAAAAAAAATACAAGCCTAAAGGAATGTGCTAATGCTAAAAATTAGCTACTACAAGCTGATACATGCTCTGCTCTCTCCTGGATGCTAAATCAACAACAGCCTTCCCTGTCACGAGCCAAGATGGAGTCCATTTTACAATGTGACGAGATTCACAGGCTTTTCTAATCTGAGCATTTCCCCGTCTATACCTGCAGCTATGCAGGAACTAGGGGTCAAAGACTATGATCACGTTTAGCCTGCAATGTGAAACACAGAGTGGCTGATCAAATTTAAAAAATAACAAGTCAAAACGATTTCTAGTGATTTCTTTCACAGTGATACTGGCTAAATTTATTGAGTGGAAAATGTTCTGAAGAAAAAATGTTAAAAGAATGATAATTGCTCTTAAAGTAACAGACAAGAGTTCTCATTGATCTCAGTGATTGTTTTAGTTAGAAACTTGACCAGTTTCATATTTGGCACCACTCTGCAGCCTTCTGCTGACCAAAAGCTGCACTTGATAGTTTTGTGGAGCAGGTAGGTATCCTAGAGGTTGCTCTTTACCGGCTTTATGGCTGTTAGCTGTAATGCTAGCAGTTAGCATTTTCTGTTCTCTGATCGTTAACAAAAAGCACAAGAAGAAAAAGAAGAAGTTTGCTTTTTCAGATAGCATCATGGTGGTGCCTGGAAGCTAAAGTAAGAGAGTATGTCTTCAGAGTGAACATCGGTACGGCCTATGCTAATTTGAGGGAGCTAAAAGAGGTTAGAAAAATAACGGACTGATGGTAACCTGGCTTTGTTGCTACAGGACTTGTAAGTAATAATATTTGTTGGTCCAAAAGTGTGGATATTTTTACTTCATTTTTTATTTCAGTATTAGTTGGCTCATGTTAGCGTTAGCTCATTGTTAGCGCTAGCTACAGCAGGCTGCAGCAGGGTTGTTTACAACAGCTGTAATTCCACTTTCAGCCAGTAGGGTGAAAGAGCAAAAAACTGCTCTCTGTTACTTTAAAATAAAAAAAATCTCTTAAAACCTAAGATCTCAAAGACCACTTGATTTCTGCAACACAACAAAATGTGAGACAATAAAGCCTCACAGGATCTCGGTGAAATACACTAAACAAAAGACTCCATCAGACTGGATTTTGTTCATTGGAATTTTTATTGATTATTATTCAACATAGATAACAGGTAACCGTGTTGCTGCTGTGTTTAAAATGATGGACATATAGATATTTGCAGAGCCTATTAATAAAAACGTTGCTTGATTTTGAGGGGAACGACATAGCTGCAAAAAAAGGAAGTTTTCCACCCGCGGGACACAGAAGCACATACAGAACATTCCTAAAAAAATATAACCAGTCTTCTGCTCACTAAGCTCATAAAAGAAAATATCTTGTATCCAGAAACTATTCACCACCGTCAGGACTGGAGGAGGAATTTTACACTGGTACACTGAGTAAAACTGACTATTCTTCTGCGAAAGTGAAAAATTCATCTACTTTTCTAAATATACACACAGAAGGATTTTTAGGGTCTTAGCACCTGAGCAGACCCTATTTCTTTACCACTCATAAAACACTGAAGAACCTGAATGTAAGTAGCAAGATGGTTATTATAAAAACAAAAATATGTATATATGAGACTCATATTTTATACTACTATGTATTGCAAACTGCTAACCACTAAAAAAAGATCAAAATAAAAAATCTAAGAAATCATTTGGCACAATCTCGACAGAGAATTACGTCTGCACTGAAAAATAAAAACAACAAACGGGTATAAAGGGTTTGAAAATATTGCAAGGAGAACATCAAATTTAACCATGCACAAAGTAAGGCAACCTACTGTTTTATTTTCCTTAATACAGAAAAAGTTACTGTGACTGTGTGAGGTGCAGCTGGTCCTACAACACCTCCAGTAGCTGCTGTCAGTGGGATCTGCTGCTTTCTGGATGACAGACCAACAGTCTGGTGCAGACTAAAGTCATGATTCTATTGTACACCAGAGATTACTGGTAACGTTGCCTATCATCTATAAGTTAAGTTATGCCAAGTATGCTGCTATGCTACAATAAAGCCTTGTTGACTTTGACAGAAAAATACTTGTAATAAATTCCAGATTTGAAACTACATTTTTTTTTACTTTACATTCATTTGAATTTGATGTTATGCTGTTTTTCTTTTTAGGAAATACTGTTTTTCTTATATTAGCATATACGTAAGTGTTTGTGTATGCAGGTTTGAGATGTTTTACAAATCCTTCGTCTTAATGAGGGTAACCAAAGGCTTGTCTTCAGGACTGTAGTCCTCATAGGCAATGGGCGTGGCATCATACATGGCAGGTCGGGACTTCTTCCCAAATCTGAGGAGCAAACAGAAAGCAGTCAAGCCTCGTTCATGCCACGGATGTGGTCCAGTTTCCATACGGCTTCCGGGCCGTGTGCTGAACGTCTCTGGATATGTGCTCTCACAAAAGTACTAAATGATTAGGTATTTGACAGAGAAGCCTGTTGAAAATAACGTAAACTATATTACACTCTGAATTGATGTTGTCGTCATTAATAATAAAATTAAAGCCGGCAAAAATAATACGACAGGTCTTATTTTGAAATGTACCAGATGCATCTTGTTGAAATGTCTCATTTCTTGTCTGGCTCAAGGAATTGATTTCACTTCATAAATCTTCGCATGCGGGTCTGGAAAAAAATCGACTATGCAGAAACTTTCCAGAGCTCTGCATCTCAATAACTTTAGATCTATGCGGAAGCTGGACTACATCCGTTCCACACTCAGTGTGATCAAGGCTTTAGTTATTTGCTGACTTTGGTGTTTAGCTGAATGGTTTTAGGTTAATTTATTGATGTATGCTTGTAAGTGAGGAGAAAAGCACACAACACAGCAGCATAAGATGTGCCAGTTTTAGTCCCAAATTCTGCAAAAGACTGCATTTACCACAAAGCACCTCAGGAGTTTATAAAATATTTTTCTATGGTCAAATAGAACAAAGAAGGTTTTTGTGTCGGTTTGGTAAATTGTAAAAGAAGGTGGTGAAAATCTCTGAGGGATAGTTCTGATTTTCCAAAGTGTGTTTCTATGGAATGGTTCCGAGCAGCCAACATCTTACCTGCAGCAAACAGTGGAAATATCAGGGAGTCAGAAAATAGGCCAGTCTAGAAGCAATTCCTCTGCCTGAAACAGCTGCAACTTCATAAATGTGATGGGAATTCAAGTGCCTGCTGCTTTGTAACAGCTCCTCCATTTTAGCTACAAACCTTTGAAGGTCATCATCACACATTGATGAAATTACATCTCCGCATGTGGCCTTTCCCCGTGGGGGATGGGTGAGCTGCAGCAGTGGCTGCGCTCGGGAACTATTTGGTGGTTTAACCCCTCAATCCACGATTAAAGCTGAATGTGAAGCAGGAAGGTATTGGGTCCCAAGTGTTTGGTATGACCCAATCAGATTTGAATCCCGACCTCCCAGTCCCAGGGCAGACACTCATACCACTAGGCCACTGAGAAGGTAATAGGGGAAAGGTGATTTTGAATAGTCCATTTTTTGGCTGACAAATACTTCCTTTTTCTCCAAACTGAGACCACTCCGACTGCTTTCTGTTGCAGGTAAGATGATGACAACTCGAAACTATTCCACATTTCACCTACAAAGAAACCGAGACAAGGCAGCTTAGTATGTCTCTTTTGAATAAACCAAAACCAATGAAATGACTAAAGGGACCCTCTAATTAGTTTATTTTGAAGCCCATTAAATAGACACAAAGAGGGAAAACAAAGAAAGCACCCATTAAGAGTTTAACGCCAGGCAGGCGTAGCAGATTTGCAACGTTAAAACCTGCCTACCTGATTACTCCACATATGTATTTTTTTGAGTATTTTTTAACTCCGAAGTACCCCTGAAGGACTTAGTTCTTTGTTATTTTATCAAAACTTATTTTGAGCCTGAGAGGGTTAAAAAAGAAGGTATTAGCGGACCAGGTTTCCTGGTTTCCTGCTCTTTGTTTGACTTGTTTAAACCTATCATCCAAGTTATTTCTCTCATTTGCCCGCCATGTATACACGTCTCAGCACATACCTGATGTTCATATCGGGGGCTGCCTCCAGCTTATTTGTTTTGCCTGCTGAAGTTTGGGTAAATAAATAGGAAACAACTCGTAAAAGGTCAAACTCAAATCACCTGGCATGGCGGATGGAAGCTATAGCATTGCTGAACTCGCTGTCGATGCTGCGACAGTTGTAGAACTCCTGGTAGGCGTGGCGCGACGACCCCTGGTACTCAATGCGACTGATGCGGCAGATGCCCACAATGAGGATGATGAGCATGAGGACAAACGCCACACACAGAGCTCCAATGATGATGTACAGGGAGTGCCTGGGCATGTTGGTCAGAGTGTCCTCGGTGTGGACAGGCTTCCACTGCAGGTCTGGCACGCACACACACACACACACACACACACACACACACACACACACACACACACACACACACACACACACACACACACACACACACACACACACACACACACACACACACACACACACACACAGGCTTTCAGCTCACGTTTTGATTGATCACCACAGAGGTGCTCTCTGACAAGGCAACTTACGGATTTCACAGCTGGGGCCCACCCACCCAGGTGGACAGTGGCAGGTGTAGCCATTTGATTGGTCGATGCAGGTGCCACCGTGGTGACAAGGGCTGCTCTCACACTCATTGATGTCCACCTCACATTTCTCTCCTGAGCAGACAGGGGTTGTGATTAGTAACGAGCAGAGCCACACCAGCAGAAACTGAATCCTCATGCAGATTTTTTTTTAAACATAAACAAATTTGAAGACAACTGTGAGTGAAGTGATGCTTGTTAAAGGTCTTACAGCTTTCATCTAAAGTCAGATTAAAACATATTTACGTTTTAATGTAAATTAAAAATGTACAGGCCCCACCTGTGCCCAGCTGGATGACCTCTGTGCCCTGAACCCCTGTGCCCACGGCGTCTGCAAATATTAGGCTGTGTCATTATAATGACTCAGCCTAATATTTGCGCTTTTGGTTTTATTTATTTTAGAGTGGTTAACATTTGCCAAATTTTAATTAATTTATGCATTTTAAACCTCAAATATTTGTAAATCCAATTTTGTTGTTTGGGGTTTATTTTTTTAATTTCCCAGTTTTTACATAGCCGTTGTTTAGGACATTATGTAACTAATGTGGATTTAAATTGAGGTTTTTATACATCTTATTGAATTTCAGTTTAGTTTTGTCTTTTTTCCTTTTGATCCATTGATCTCTCTGCATGTTCTCCTGCAGGTTCCTCTCTCCAACCTGTACATTCATCACTGTTCTGTTCCTTTCTGTCATCATCTTTAAATGTCTTCATGTTTCGCATTTCTAGTTTTGTTCTACATAATTATTTCCTGTCACTTCATGCTGCTTTACATTTATTCTGCATTTCCTTTTTGTTGTTTCACACTTGACCGCCCCTGACTCTCCGCTCATCCAGGGTTAAGTTTAGGGTAAACATCAGTTCTCACCTTGGTACCCAGGTGGGCACGCACAGGAAGCGTTAAATCCAGTGCTCTCACATCGACCTCCGTTCTGGCAGTGGACATTCAAACATGGATCCTTGTAGATTTCACAGTGTCTGCCTGCGCAGATTAACACACATTGGGATCGCATTATGATGCGCTTGGCCAAACATTTATTGACGTATGATTATAGCTTAGAGGTGTGGCCAGATTGTTCACATACCTTCGAACTGAGGTGTGCAGACACATTCAAAGGCATTGATGAGATCCCTGCAGGTGGCGTAGTTCTGGCAGGGCGCAGACAGACACTCGTTGTACTCCTCCTCGCAATATAAACCATGATAGCCTGAAGAAGATGTGTGGGTTTTTATTAATTTAATCACATTTAAAGCATGCAATAGAGCTTTTTAACTTCTCATGGTGTTCCTAAGCACCAGGCCACACAAAAAGAGTAAGACAAAAAGATATTTTTTACACTGGTCTGTAGAGTTTTGAGTAAAAACAACAAAAAAGCACATTTCTTTATATTGCAGTGGGACAGTGACATGCTAATTAAATTAATTGACCTTTAAAGTTTAAACATCACTAACTAAACTAAATAATTTTGCTCCACTACTCCAGGAGCATTGGACACATGTAGTGCCTGGTGTTTTCCATGGGGTGGCAGCAGAGGCAGCATGGTCACTTTAGTAAAACTAACCAGTCTCTGTTTTCATGTCCTATTCTTCTTTGAGCTAAAAGGACACGTGTGATGAAGCTGTTGTTGTTTATTACTATTTGATGGCAAACTCGTGTTAAACATCATCAGATCTAAACTATTAAAACTGGTGAAGTGAAACATGAAGATTAGAAAGACCCTAACTTGTGTTAGATTATATCCAGATCTCAGTGATTACAAGTGAAGCTGAGCACATTGTGCCAGGTCATGGAGGTAAGATGATCTAAGTGGGAAACCCAGACCTCCAGCTCCTCCTGAAGGTGTTTCCAGCTCAGAAACAATAAACAATCCATACAGTAAACAATGAATCTGTCCATGGACTCTTCCCAGTGGGACATTCCCAGAGGAAGCCAGGAAGGAGCCTGAATCCCATCAGATGATTACCTTTGATGTATAAAAATCTATTCTGAGTTCCTCCAGCATGATTGAGCTCAAAATACAAACCGCAAAGCCATAGAAAGAGTTGGAACATAGAAGGATGAGAGTTTTGCCTTTTGACTCTGCTCCTTCTTTACCAAACAGCCCAGATCAACACCCTCCATCTGTTGCTTCATCCTAACATCCCTCACAGGCAAAACTCCAAAACATTTGAACTCCTTGCAGGGGAGACTCTCCCGCAACCTGAAAGGTGCATTCCACCTGTCTCTTGACTATTTTAAAGCAATTCTTGTTGTGCTTTTCCAAGACAAATGTTTCCTTAATCATGAACGATCTGATCAGATGGCCTTTCCTTTAATCTCTGCTCTAGCAGCTATCTGAAAAGACACAAAACTGGAGAGAAGTGCCTTTTTTCTTTTCTTACTTTTTTTTGCTGTTGCTGGCACACACACACACACACACACACACACACACACACACATACACTCCTGCATGCACTTCCACTAAAGTTGCTGTGTTAGTGGAAGATTTCTATAAAACTATTCCTAGCTTTGCAAAACTGCCAAAGGAACAGTGTCTCTGGAGTTCTTCCTCAAATAGTTTAGAAATCTATTTTCATCCCGTCGATTTCCCAGTCAGGACCAGCTGACTGAAGGTTCAACAAACTCTCGTTGGGCAAATGTGTGTTTGAGGGAAGGAGAGACAGGAATTTAATGAGGAGGCCAGTTAGAGCCTCTTGAGTCCCCGCTGTGAAATGCCAGTGAAATGTCAAGTGCCTTTTCCAGGACTCTGTTGTCTGCGGGCCGACTGGGGGGGCTCACAGCATCTCATTTGAGCTGGATTACAGGAAGCTGGAAGATGCCTCGTTCCGCATGTCACTTCCCCAGCAGCTGGATTTCAAACAGCTGGCAGGCTTTAACACAGCTCTATACTTGTGAACACTTACACAGAGGAGGCAGTCTCTCAAAGTGCTGTTGCTCCTGCTCTCACACCTTGCATAAAAGCTGACATTCTCCTGAGACCAAGAAACAATTCTGCCTCGTCTCTGTGTTCGCTGTAATTGTCTGAGATGTTAATTACAAAACCATTAATTTTAACCAGTCCCATTAAAGAGGGTCTTCTCAGCAGAGGCATTAAATTGGGTGTGCAGCATCATCTTAAGCACCGTACTCAGCCACACATTGTATGTCGGCTGCTTCACCATGGCAACCAGACAAAAAAGGATGAGAGGGAAATGAGGTGAAGTAAACAGAAGGAAAATGGAGATGAGGAAGGACAAAAGGACAAGTTGGAAGAGGAAAAAAATGAAAGAAACGAAATAATAAGAGGCTGTTGTGAAGACTTTGTGAGATATTAGAGTAATTGGAAAGCATGCTCTGCACCAAGGCACAGCAAGGAAGCGTGAATTAGGAAAGGTTATCAACTCTCGCAGTAGGTTTTACTTATTACTACTTTGTTGTTTCCCAAAGATGGATAATTTTAAAGGAAAGCAGTTCCAACATAATGAATCTCAGAATCCTCTACATTATACGTTGTAAGATGTGTGAGTGTTATGGATATAAATATACTTGGTATTCTTATCAAATATTAATAAGATTTCAGGATTGTGGAATAATCGAGAGCTGCATAGATATTATGTTATTTCTTAAATAAATGCAATAGTTTTGCAAACTAAGCAAGAAAGAGAGAAAGCAATGTTAAGGTATGGTATGATGCAACCCCGTGGTTTTCAGTCTGGGCTCTGTGACCTGCCAAGGGGTGCTGAAGTTGTGGGGTTACCAAGCTTTTTTTTTTTTTTCATAAAAATTACAATTATAAAATCCCAATAAAACACCCAGTCCTATAACCAAACTTTTGTATAGAGTTATAACTCTGTATGTCTGGATAAAGTTAGTAATAAATCACATTTAGAGTGTGTGTGTGTATGCGAGTGGGAGTTGGGTTTGGGGGTCCTGACTTGTCTTGGACACCGGCAATGAAGTCCTCAAGGAAAAAAGGTTGGGAGCCTGTAACCGACCTGAAAATGGTTACATGATAAGGTGTTTCATTTCTAAACATTAGTCATTTTATTTTATGAATATAAATATTGTGTGTTATTTTGGGTAATCAGAAAATGATTTTAGAAACCAGAACTTTATATTGATAGAAACTGGAATTAATGAGCAGAATTACAGGAGGTAGCATTATATCACTAGTTCATGACTGAAGCACTGCTTTTGTTGGTCCATGTGGTTTCAAATAACAAAGAAAACTGGTTAGAAAACTATCGAAAAAGCACTTTAGCATCTTGGTTTTCTTGTCAGAATCCCATTCTTGGTCAGGTTTTTTTTCGTTGAAAACCTGGATAGTGAAGCTTTGAGTGATAGATCAGAGAACAGTTAAATGGTAAATGGTAAATGGCCTGTATTTGATATAGCGCCTTCTAGAGTCCTGGAACCCCCCAAGGTGCTTTACAACACAATCAGTCATTCACCCATTCACACACACATTCACACACTGGTGGGGATGAGCTACGATGTAGCCACAGCTGCCCTGGGGAGCACTGACAGAGGCGAGGCTGCCAAGCACAGGCGCCACCGGTCCCTCCGACAACCACCAGCAGGGAATGTGGGTTATGTGTTTTGCCCAAGGACACAACGACAGCGACAGACTGAGCGGGGCTCGAACCTGCAACCTTCCGATTACAAGGCGAGCACTTAACTCCTGTGCCACCGTCGTCCCATGGTTACATTGGTGGTGAGCCTTCCCAGCAGATATTCAAACTGCTGCTACAATTTTTCATGGTTCAAGTGATAGGATTGGTCCATCTTAGTGATGTCATGGTCTGTGCTGAGCTAACACCTGTTTTGTGTTGAGTTTCTCTGTGTGCAGGTGGGTGTGACCGGAGAGCAGCTGCTGTTGATCTTCTCATCAGTGGTCAGGGGATTTAAGGAGTGTCGGGACAACGCATCAGCGCCGGATGATTACTCAGTATTGGGTAGTATTCTCGCCAGAACCTTGCCTGTCTTGTGTTATCTCCTGTTTACCTTGCTTCAATCGTGTTAATCTGCCCTGTTACCTCCAACCTCCTCAGGTACCTTCCATTCATCTGCCAACTTCCACCATCAAGCAAAAGACTCACCGGCTCAATCCTGCTCACCAGCCCGTCGCTCGCCCCTGACCGCCTGCTCTCCAACCCCCACCTGCCATCAGTGCACCCTGGACTCCGGTGCTCAGCTCCCAGCCATTTCCTCTGCCTCTCACCCGACCAACTCAGCCAGCCTTCACGTGCCCTCCTCTCAAACTCTCCCTAACTACCAGGAAACCGTAAGATAAACTCTCATTACCTTTTGTGCCCGTTGTCCTGCAACTACTCACTCTGGTTTTCTACTTCAGAACTTCATCAGAACCTCCCGAATCCCGATCATCATCTGCATCACTCATCAAACTTAAATAAATAATTTTACTTACCTTCTTTCTGTTGTGTGATTCTGCATGTCGTGGGTCAAAAAACGTCAACCCAACATGACAAGTGATTGACACCAATGAGAAAAACACCGGACAATTCTTGACTATACTAAACTTTTTTGACAGTGAGTTGAATTTTGGAAAGGATCTACTATCACTACCTTGGATTAGACTGTATTGAAAGGACAGTTTATTTTTAAAAGAAGGTTTAAAAGTTACCTATTTCATTTATGTGCACATATTATTACTTTAACTGTTCAATAAAAGTGTTGTAACATTCATCAGTGTGTGGTTTTTGGTTCTTGTGATATTCTAAGCTCCTAAGTACCTAGGTAGCAACATTCAGATAGCCAGAAGTAGGTCAGTGTGCTGTGTTGTGTTGTGTTGTGGCATGGTATGGTATGGCTTGGTTTGGTATATGGTATGGTGTATGGAATGGTATGGTATGGTATGGCTTGGTGTGGTATGATATAAACAATAAATGAGACTCGATACACCACACGATACGTGAGGCTTTACGGTCTGATATGATCCGATACGATGCAATGCAACATGATCAACTGGCTTTATACCTAAAGTTAATTTAAAACATGAGTTATAAATTGTGACTGCTGCTCAGCTGATAGCTTGTGTTAGCTGAGAGGAGCAGGGCCAAAGTGTCATTTAATGTGGATAGGCCACTGAGAAAGTCATCCATTTCACCAGCTCAGAAAGGTAATTGCAGGACAGAGGATAATGATAAGCCATCATTCCGCCCAATTGATTTGATCACAGAGGCATCAGTGGAACAACCATCCCATCTAAAAATAACGTCACCCTGAACCAGACAATATTTACTGCTTCAGAGTCTGAGCCAGTGCCACAAGGAGCATCTTTTCACATATCACAAAGCTTCATGAGCACTTGAACGAGGGTTCAAGGGTTGGTTGGTTTTATAAGGGACAAACAGGCTCAAGAGAGCTGGGGGGGGGGGCAGCTGCACTCGTGTTTTTCTTTTAAATGCATAGCTTTTAAAAAAGTCAAAAAGGAACACACAACAAAGATATTTATCTAGTTTAGGTATGTTATTATGTTATTGTTGAACAGGAACCTGGTTTCACACATTCAGTCTGTAACTGTACCATGTTCAGCGCTTTGGGCTTCCTGACAGGGTTGCGGAAGGCGCTTTATAAATGAAGCTTTGATTGATTGATTGATTGATTGATTGCAGTCTTTTAACCCTCCACATACGTATTTCATGAACATTTTTTAACTCAGAAGTACCCCTGAAGGACTTAGTTCTTCATCCTTTTATCAAAACTTATTTTGAGCCTGAGAGGGTTAAAGACAGATCAACTGAGCTGCGTCACCTCTAGCTGACTTTGGCTAAATTGGGCGATTGATGCTGTCAACATCAGTGGTCATCATGACTCATCAAATTGATAATGAAAACAGTCGGATGTACATCACTGCAGTGTACCTGGGACGCAGAGACACCTGTAGCTATTGCCCACGCTGCGGCAGACGCCGTGAGCACAGGGGTTCAGGGCACAGAAGTCAACCAGCTGGGCACAGGTGGGGCCTGTAAAGCCTGATGTGCAGCTGCAGCCAAAGCCCAGGGGCGCGGGACCCTGAGGGTAGCATGTACCGTTATTGTGACAGGGGCTGGAGGCACATGGGTCCACCTTCTGCTCACAGGTAGCGCCTTGGTAACCTGTCAGACAACACATGGAGAAGAAGTTGATGAGGATGGCTACATTACATTGTAATACCTTTGTTATCCCTTAAACAGTTTTAAAGCTTTCTTTTCCAAAAAACTGCTGTCCTTTACTCTGTCCTCAGCTGGAGGATGTAAGTACTACAGGTGGCATGTGCCAATTTTATTATATCGCAATGTAATAGAAAGACTATATTGACACTATTTAATCCAGATTAATGATTGTACCAGCTGAATCCACCAGTTGGAGAAACATATTACAACCATTAATGGTTCACATCTAAAAACAACATTAAACAAAAATTTAAAAAATTATGTCCAACTGCAGAAGATTTTCTGTTTTGGGGCTTTGCAGAAACACCAAAATTGCTTTTTAATTTCATTAATTGCCCTAGTGAGGGGTAAAAGTTGCCAAAAATCTGCACAAACACCCCTCAACCTAACTTTATTCAAACAGCAAGTCAATTAATGTGTCCATTGTCCTTATGGCCCAATCATTCTACAGATATTTGTAACAGTGCTCATAAAGAATAAATGTGTGAATTCAAATATAATTAATTTCCTATCATCTCACTCCTTTAGAGGAATTTTCATTTTCTCCTCCTTATCTGTTTGTTCGCTCTGCTGAAGGCAGGCTAATAGAAACTGTTTTTGTTGTGTGAGTCATTCTGGGTGTTTGTTTTGTGCAGACCCATTTTCTCATTTCAGATTGTGTGATGAAGCCACTAGCTTCACCTTACCTCTCCTTTATTATCTGGTGAGCCTGTGTCTCTGTCACCTGTCTTCTGCTTCTAAAAATAGCCTCTCATCTTCACCCTTCACCCTTCCTCCTGTCTTCACCCCCTTTCTGAGACGCACTGTTGTGCAAAGAGGAGCAGGACTTCTGTGATGTAGTATGTGTCCTCTGGCTTACAATAAGACAGCAGTAAATCCCTCTGCTGACTCACTAAACAGTGCGCCCCATCGCACTAATGAAAAGATCTCTCACATGCAGACATCGATCTGCGCCAGTATTTCACCGTATTTGGAGGACATTAATCAATTAGCAAAATGCATCAGTGTGGACAAACGCTCACCACAGCTCTTCTGTCTTTTTCACTTTCACGCTTCCTCCTCCCTCCCCTGCTTGTAAATACAAAGCTAAACCCATTCACGAGTTTGATTTATGATTTGTATTTCTCTCTGTCACAGTTTATTCCCCTGCCTTGCCTTTTAGCATCCCTCCTCTGCAGCTGAGCCTGAGTTATTTTTCTCTGCGATGGCGGAAAATTACTTTTCCTTTATTCTCTGCTCTACACAGCATCTGAAAAGACACAAAACTAGAGAGCGGTGCCTTTTTTCCTGCTTTATTTGCTGTTGCTGGAGCACACACACATACACACGTACACACAGAGAGAGAGAGAGAGAGAGAGAGAGAGAGAGAGATCAGAGAGTAGTCCGCTTACTCTGCCTGCCTTTGGCTTTCTTTATTTAGTGTGCAAAAGTGGAACAAGTCGATAATGACTTTAAATTGATGAGACTGATAAAACTATTTTGAGATAAAATGTGTTGCGGAAACATGTTCATTATAATTAGAATGAAAACCTGCAGCTCACACATGGATACTGAAACTGAGAACGCCCAGTCCTTAACTGTGATTCTATGGAAGAAAATATGTGACAAAAAACTAAAGGAGTGTGCGTTTTTGAGTGCGCGTGTGTATAGGAGGATCTTTGTTGACATCTGCAATCAATTTTCCTCTGGGATTAATAAAGTATTTTTGAATTTGAATTGAATTGAATTGAATTGAATCTTTTTTCATCTTTGTGTGCATGGGCGAGTGGCTGTGTGGCAAAAACAAACTGCTATCAATATGCAACATACACTTTTATGGACAAAATCCCCAATGTGTAAACACTTCAACGTGTGAAGACAAGAAGAGGTTTAGAGAGAAGATTAAAATCTGTATTGAAGAGAAAATTAAAGTTATTAAAGCCCATATGAGCTCTTGGATGGCAGAAAACATTGGTCAAATTCACCAGTGGTTTTTCTCAAATCTGCTGGGGAGACATTTATTCCTATTCAACAGAAAGCCCTGGAGACTTCACTCATGAAAAATTAAAGACTTACAAATGTCTTGAGGCTTACGATTATTTTGTTTTAAGGAAAGCTGAGCCGATCTCTTCTAAAAACAGAAAGCTGTGGACTGTGGTTTGTGCTTACGCACCAAACTACAGTTCAGACTACTCACCCTTTTTGTAGACATTGGAGGGGATGCTGGAGAGCGCTCCATCCGGTGACTCCCTCATTCTGTTGGGGGACTTTAACGCTCACGTGGGCAACGACAGTGAGACATGGAGAGGTGTGGTTCAGAGGAACAACCTTCTTGATTTGAATTTGAGCGGTATTTTGTTACTGGACTTAGTTATTGGCAGCTCGATGATTGACTTTGTTGTCATTTTGTCTGATCTGTGGCAGCATGTCTTGGACACTCGGGTGAAGAGAGGGGCGGAGCTGTCAACAGACCACTACTACCTGGTGGTGAGTTGGCTCTGATGGTGGGGGAGGATGCCGGTCAGACCAGGCAGGCCAAACGTATTGTGAAGATCTGCTGAGAATGTCTGGCAGAGTCTCCTGTCAGAAAGAGCTTTAATTCCCACCTCCGACAGAACTTCCAAAATGTTCCGGGGGAGGCAGGGGACATTGAGTCCGAGTGGGCCCTGTTCCATGTCTCCATTGTTGAAGCAGCCGACCACAGCTGTGGTCGCAGGGTCGTCGGTGCCTGTCGTGGCAGCAGCCCCAAACCTGCTGGTGGACACCAGCAGTTAGGGATGCTGGTCAAAAAGCTCCTCGGTGGCAAGACTCCAGGGGGTGGATGAGATCTGCCCAGAGTTCCTTGAGGCTCTGGATGTTGTAGGGTTGTGTTGGTTCTCTGCTCAACAATAAGCTCTGCAATATTGCATGGACATCGAGGGCAGTTCCACTGGACTGGCTGACCGGGGTAGCGGTTCCCTTATTTAAAAAGAGGGACCGCAGGGTGTGTTCCAACTACAGGGGGATCACACTCCTGGACCTTCGTGGTAAGGTCGTTTCAGGGGTTCTGGAGAGGAGGGTCCGTTGAATTGTCGAACCTCTGATTCAGGAGGAGCAATGTGGTTTTCTTTGGCCATGGAACACTGGACCAGCTCTATACCCTTAGGGAGGTCCTGGAGGGTGCGTGGGAGTTTGCCCAACCAATCTACATGTGTTTTGTGGATTTGGAGAAGGCATTTGACCGTGACCCTCACGAGGCCTTGTGGGGGTGAGTACTCCAGGAGTATGGTGTACCAGGCCCTCTGATACGGGCTGTTAGGCCCCTGTATGTCCGGTGTCAGAGCTTGGTCCCCATTACTGGCAGTATTTCGGGCTCAGTCCCAGTGAGAGTCGGTCTCCGCCAAGGCTTCCCTTTGTCACAGATTTTGTTCATAATTTTTATGGACAGAGTTTCTAGGCGCAGCCAAGGTGTTGAGGGCATCCATTTTGGTGGCCTGAGGATCGGATCTCTGCTTTTTGCAAATGGAGTGGTCCTGTTGGCTTCATCGGTACATGATCTTCGGCTTTTGCTGGAGCGGTTCCTCTAAATCCGAGACCATGGTCTTGATTCGGAAAAGGGTAGAATGCCTTCTCCGGGTCAGAGATGAGGTCCTGCCCCAATTGGAGGAGTGGGTGTTGTTCACGACTGAGGGAAAGCTGGAGAGTGAGATCGATAGGCGAATTGATGCTGGGTCTGCAGTGAAGTGGGCGTTGTACCGGTCTGTTGTGGTAAAGAGAGAGTTGAGCCAGAAAGCGAAGCTCTCGATTTACCGGTCGATCCACGTTCATCCCTCAGTTATGGTCATGAGCTTTGAGTAGTGACCGACAGAACGAGATCACAGATACAAGCGGCCGAAATAAGTATTCTCAGCAGTGGGGCTGGGCTCTCCCTTAGAGATAGGGTGAGAAGCTCTGTCATCTGGGAGCGGCTCAGATTGGACCCGCTGCATCTCCACATCGAGAGGAGCCAGTTGAGGTGGCTCGGGCATTTGATTAGGATGCCTCGAGGACGCCTCCCTGGTGAGGTTTTCCGTGCACGTCCAACCGGGAGGAGACCTAAAGGTAGACCCAGGACACGTTGGACGGACTATGTCTCTCACCTGGCCAGGGAATTCCTTGGGATTCACCCTGAAGAGTTGGTCCAAGTGGCTGGGGAGAGGGAAGTCTGGGCTTCTCGACTTAGGCTGCTGCCCCCGCGATCCAAATCCGGATAAGCGGAAGAAAATGGATGGATGAATGGATGGATATTATAATGATCGTGGGTTGAGACACCTGAATCAAAGCGTGAAAACAACACGACTCCGTGGATTTAAAAATACACACAAATTAATGTTTTTAAAAACATCTGCTCTAATTAACAAATACGTAGTCACAACGACTTGCAGTGAACTAAATGAGCCTCACAAATTGTCCATTGTTGCCAGAGTCCAGAGATTTTTTCGTATTTCACTGTCGTTTATGGAGGAAATTCCAATGAAACGTTTTATCAAGCCTCCCACTGACCGAACTATCAACCACATTGCAATAAAGAATCATCTGCTTTGCTGAATCCTCCTCCAAACATGCAAAAAAACCAAATTATAGGCAAAATGCATTGTTTGTTGCCACCCAGGTCCCATGATGCAATACAAGAAACATAAAAACTCATGTCACAAAAGATCCTCCTATTACAAATGATCTAAAAAAAGGAATGATCTAATGTGAGCCTTTTAACTTCCTCACAATGAAAAAAGCAATGAAAACCTTTTATTTGTTTGCATTTTTTGGGTTTGGGGCAACAGGGAGCCTAAGGCTGTAATGGCTGTTTCACTGCCTGCTGCCGTTTCCTGGTTCAGAGTCTGACAAACAGCCATAAAACTGAGCAAAATGTCCAGCAACACCACTTTTAAGCTCAGTGGTGTTTCTTTGGAGCATACAAGTTACCTTACACTTTACTGATCATCTCATGTTAGTTTGTCATGAACCACTTTCTGTCATGGAGCTGGCATGGGAACAAAACTACACAGATAGGCTGACTCAAACCACACTGTACAGAGCTGTTTCAGGCTAAGCGCTCCTGGAAAAACACCTTAAGTCTCCTGCATTTCCGGTCGGCTCATGGGTCCCCGGAAGAATTTCTTACTTTGTCTTACGCCCTGGATCACACTAGGGTTGTCACGGTAAACGGTGTAGCGGTAAACCCCGGTAAAAAAGCTGACAATAATAATAACCGTCTTGTTTTTTAAAAAACTATATTATCTCGGTGGATTACAGTGGCTGCGGTGTAGGCGCGGCGACCCTTACCAGCCACCGTATCATCTGCTGAAGTTGCCGGCGGCACATGCGCTCTTTGTTGTTTACAGCCAAAACTTTCTTGAAGCTAAAGCTGAAATAATGGTCAAAGGAGGAGACGGCAGCACTCAGGACATTTATTATCCCTCAAACAAGACAAAGTGGGAAGTACGGGCATTTTTTGGATATTTGAAGAATGTCGAGGGACAGTTGATAGAAGACGGCTGTCCTGTTTGCAGCACGTGCAGAAAAAGTGTCTGTGAAAGGCAGCAACGCTTCAAATCTCATGACACATCTGCTTGACCATCACCCACAACTCTACAGTCAACGCAAGGCAAGCTAACGTTAGCGTTTTAGCTAAAATGTGTAATCTGAGGATTTGGGTTGAGGGAGAATGCAACGAGTCGCTATATAAAGCAGCCGCAGCGCCGCTACCTGCATATAAACCGTGTCGCGGACACCCCCATGTTGAAATGACGCTATGCATTACGGGGCTCCCAGGGGCAGATAAGAGTTGGTCTCTCTCCGAGAATAATTATGAATTTAGCAATGATTACTGCCTGATGACATTTTCCCACATCTGCAAAGCTGGAAGGACACAAACCGAGGACAACCCTGACATCGGGTTTATTACTCAAGTAAGGGTAAAAAAAGTATCTGATTAGAAGGCTACTTGAGTACTGAGTATCATCTGATCTAATATTTTTAAAATGATGACATCAAACAGACAAAAATTAAGAAGTTATGGGCAAATATTGGTATTGTAAAGACGAAAAGGGGAAAAATGTAAACAAATAAACAACATAATTACAAAATAACAAATTTTAGGCAAAATTTAGACACTAATTGAGGACAATATTTCCTGATATACAGGGTTTATTCAGTTGTCTGAAAAAGTAACATGTTTTAAAAAATACAGCGATAATACCGAAAACGTGATAATTTTGGTCACAATAACCGCGAGGTTGAATTTTCACACCGTGACAACCCTAGATCACACACATGCGGTACTTCAATTTAAATGAAAAGTAATTATGTTTGTTTAGACCATGCTAGTCATGTACAAAGTTCTTTTAACCCTCCCACACACACGCACACACACACACACACACACACACACACACACACACACACACACACACACACACACACACACACACACACACACACACACACACACACACACAATAAATCAGGACATCTTCTGACAACACCAGGTGCTTTTTCCTCTCTAAAAATAACTACATCCGTCTATTTCCTGCAGGGTCATGTTATTGTATCTTTGGAATAAAAGTTTTAAAAATACTCTTGTACTTTTTTGCTACTGAAATTAACAAATGTTGGACATAATTTGGAGGTTTTGGACACTTAGCTTTAAGTGGACTTAAGGATCCATCATCCATCCTGAACACTAATTGTCAGAACTTTGTCACAACAAATGGAGTAAAATAACTCTTTCTGAGTGAAGGTTACAGCAGTTTCTTTCTACTTAATACTGGGCTCAAATTCCATCTCTAAAATGCCATGTTGGGGTGGGAAACAGGGGAAGCAAACAGAGATGAAATATCATGAACCCTGGAGAGCAAATCCAGTGTAGGAGATGAAAAATGCAGCTCATGCTGTGGTTGTTGGCAGAGTGATCACAGAGCTGATGCATCTCTGATGACAGCTATTATAAAGCTGTCATGCCTTCATTGCTCAAGTCTGTTCAGAAACACTGACGGATAATTTGGGGGTGATTCATGAAGATGGGAGGGGAAACCGCGGCTGAGCAGCGTGAAAAAAACAGCTTCTGCATTCGTTTAGTCATTTGAATGCATCAATATTTCTTCACTGGACACAGCTAGAGCTGTCCGACAGTCCCTTTTAGCAATAAAAGTCAAGGTTTCTACATAGAATAACCATGCTAGCACCTTATGTATTGTCGTTTCTCTCTTTTATCATGGAATAAATACAAAATCAGTGGATTATGCATGGCTTTTCTTATCATGTAATTTATTTTACTTTCTGATTTACTTTAATAATCCAACCAGGTGTTCCAGTTACTGAAGCCTCCTTCTTTTCATCACGCTGCTGGGAGCTAAAAGTGGAGCAATCAAAGAAAACTTGTGTTCCTGTTGTTTGTGTGCCCAAATATGACCTTTTCTGCTATTTCGATGTGTATACACAGCCCATGTGCATGGATCATATTAATGCACACCAACGTGTTCTTGTTGAGAACTGCATTAGGCTTTTGCGGTCACAGATTTCCCCAGAGAGTTTGATGCAGGTCGCTCAGAAAGACTAATTAGAACGAGAGGAGGAAGGTTTATATTAAGCATCGTGGCATAGATACCAAATACTGAAATATATGACAGCTAAGTATGCACACACTTAATTCCTGCATCTTTTTGAACAAAGACGTTAATATCAAGAGATGTTGAGCAGGTTTGCTCACAACTGCTGATTTATTAACAAACACAAACAAACAACTGGTTCCAGAATAATTGGTTTTTCACCTTCGGGACAGTAGCACCTGGGCCCAGCCAAGCTGCTGAAACAGGTGGCTCCATTTTTGCACGGCTCAGAGAGGCAGTGGTCAACCAGCAGCTGGCAGCGCTCCCCTTCATAACCTGGCAAACAAAATACTTCTCTTTAGACCATTTTAAGCCTCAAACAGAGCCTGGCATCAGCCAACTTCAGTGTTTCTGCTTTTATTCAACAGCTGCTGCACATACCTGAACCTTATAGATCATTTATATTTACTGTCTCTAGAAACTTTTGGACATTTTTATTTATTTTTAACCGTTGTGTTCCATAGAAGTTTGCTCATTGTATGTAAAACTTAAATATCAAAATGTTGCAACAAACACAGATAAAAGCCTGGATTGTAGTCTAAAAAATACAGAAGGAACAACATTTTATACACTGCCTCTTTATATAAAAATCATGAGGTGCTTCACAAGAACAAAAATTCAAAAACAACAGTAAAATAAAATAAATTTAAACTATTATAAAAAGGACTAAAATATAATAAAAATGCGGAAAGCAACGTTTGTGATCAAAAAATGTGAGGAAAAAGAAAATGAACAGGAAAAGGCGATCTAAAAAATGCAGATGTCTGCATGTACTTTCAGCCAGACTTGTTGATTTTGGGATCGCTTGTTTGTTTGTTTGTTGATTTAAACTTTCTAGGGTGTAGTTTAAAAATACATTGAATTTACTGTGGGTTTATCAGCTCCACAAATGGTCTAAATAACACACGTGTGGATGGAAATGTGCAGCTGCACTTGTGGGTGAGGCAAATACCTTCTGGAGAAAAGTTTTAAAGTCTGACAGTGACCTGGCCCTGGCAGAAGGAGATGTTGATGATAACAATGACAAGTTGGTTTGAAGGAGTTAAGGTAAAGCTTTCAAGTCTAAGAACCCTGGAACTGTTGACAAGCATGGTGGTGGCAGCATCATGGTACAGTGGCGGTGCAAAGCAAAAAGTGAATAGATTAAGAATGTAAGAGGGCCACATCCAAATACTTCAAAACCACCTGATGTGATCAGCTAGGTGGGTAAATTTGGAGACAATTGTGGAGCGTTCCAAATGGTCAATGACACCAAACACACATCGGAACTGGAAAACACAACTTTCATGGATTATGCCTAAAAGCCAGATCCGTGTACAAAAACCAGTACATTTAAATGAAGTCTTCCAAATCTGATGTGAAAAGTGGTCAAATATTAGCCAGAAATATACAAGAAGGTTGATGAAGGACCAAAGATTACACCCTGACAAATATCAGAGCTGATGTTTTTATACGTTTGGCCTTTTGTAGAAAATCTGCAATAAATTCTAGCTCATGCACCTGGTTCTTGTTTTTAAAAGTCAGTGTGTGTGATAGCAAACAGACCAACACGCAGTGGTCTCAAGCCACTGGAGAAAGGAACTTTTAAACATTTCTTATCAGACCAACAAAGCTCACACGGTCAGGCTCCTGTGGCTCTGTCAAACGTACTGAAAATAAACACTAGTGGGAATAAAAGTACACAAAGTACATTTGCACACCTGGTTGGCAGGTGCACGTGAAGTTTTTCCCATCGCCGCCTTGTCTGACGTCAGTGCAGGTACTGTTGTTGCGACAAGGTCGGCGATGGCAGGCGTCGAACTCCTCACAGAAGATTCCCGTCAAGCCGTCCTCACACTCGCAGAAGAAGGTGCTCTGCAGGTAACGATCACACCGGTTTCACAAGTTTAATTACAGCAACTTTTCTGAAAAAAATGAAACTTGTGAAAGTGAAATGATTGCAAAACAATTCAGTGACAAGGAGCAGAGGAATGATCTGATTTCTTCAACTAAAGGTGTTTTTATCTAAAAAGATTTTACCGCTTCTTTGTTTCAGGCTCGGCTAATCAGAAGTGTAAGAAGATTTTAAAAATAACAGTTTTTATCTGCTGTGCAGCATTTGTTGCATCAGTTACTGTATGTGCAGAACTCTACACGTCTGTTTTAACCTTGAGGTGCAAAAAACGAATCAACAGCCTCCAACATTTTGAGACCGTGAGGTAAAACGATAATAAAATAAAAATGAAATAAAACACATTATAAACTACTTTCACATTTCCAGTTTCAGTCTTGTGTTTTCTGATTTAAATGACCACATTAAGAGCAAATAATCATTTTGAAACCAATGTTGCACTTAAAGGTCAACGTTACTCATATTTTTAATACATTTGTAGTGGTCTCTTATAGGAATGAATGCCTTGTGTTCTTTGTGTTTGTGTTTCCCTCATCTATCATACGACCCTTTCTCATTTTAATTATCCTTCATCTGTACTATGACTTTTTGTGGTTTTGATTTATAAAAATTTTCCCATTTATTTTAAATCTGCTTTTAAAGCAAATCATTTGTTTTCTGCATCCGTACAATCACATTTTGTGATTTAAATTATTCATTTGTTTTATATTTTGCTGTTTTGTTTTTAGGGTCATTTAATGACTTTGTGATTTGTTTTGTTGATCATTGTGAAGCACTTTGTGATTTTTCTTTCTGTGATAAGTGCTTTATTTTGGATTTGGAGTTTTATTTCTTGATATTTGGACAGCTTGCCTCTGACTGGCTAACAGCAATGCGACTCTGCCGCTGACTCAGTTTGCTTTGCTATGTTGATGCTTTATCTCCACAAATACCACAAGCCTGAAGAAGTTCTGCTGTGTGGTGGAGTTGCTAATGGTAACGGTTAGCTTCTACTAGCTGAGACGTTCTCTGCTGTTTCCTGGATGCTAAACCAGCAACATCCTTCCCCGCCACGAGCCAAGATGGGTTGAGTAGTTAGGTGGAGTAGAGCAGGCATTAGAGTGGAAGCCCTATTAATGGGACTTTAACTTTATGATGTCTTTTTGATACTCTGGGGCATGTCTGAATTTGTAACCCCTAATTTAGATTCATTTTTACAATGAAAAAAAAACTGCTGTGAACAAATACTCTGTTTAAGTTATAAATTAGTAAATTATTGAAAAGTTGAGTAAAAATCTCAGTGATTCAGTATGCAGACCATTCTTTTTACAGAAGCACAGGTATCGGTGCATCCTTGTGGTGTTAGGACACATTTTTAGGTTCTACTAATAACATAAATTAGATTCGACACTCACCTCAGAAGGCTGTGTGACACATTTCCCTTTCCCAGAACATTGTGGGTCACTGAAGCTGCTGCCAGGCTCCACACAGCTGCTGGCCTTTACCGTCAGGTTGAGGCGCAGGGTGACCTCCAGGGCTGTGGGGGCGCCAACGCGCATGACACCTAACATACAAAAAGAAAGGGGATTTTTGAATTTACAAAATATAACAATTAGCTTTTATAAAATGTACATTCTGGCAGTAGTTCCCACGTGTTTTGAGTGTGTCCAAACTTTTTAAGACTAGACAAGATAAAAGTCCGTGCACATTGCAAAAATACAAAAATTGTTTAATGATGGGGTTTTCATATTTACTGCTCAAAACAAGCCACACAAGATTAAAAGTGTGAGCAAAAGAAATAATAAAGTGTTCATCTGTATCAACAACCTGCCAGAGAGACAAAATATTCTAGATTTGCAATACAAACATACAACATATAAAATCCCACTGAGAGGGGTGTTTTGGACATGGCAGCTGTATAGGTTTGTAATTGGTTATTATGCTGGTGTTACTGACTGCCCTGTGCTGCTATGATTGATGGTAAAACTTGCTTATAAATAGCAAAAGGTATAAACAGAAACTCAGATAAAGGTAGATCTTCAAAATGGTAAAATTGCAGTGTTTCTGCGATGCGTTACCTTAGATCTATAAATTACAAGTGTCTTTTTTATTATGTGTTCAATCAGGCCTGACAGCTTCACCATCCTGTCTGTTCCGAGCCAATGAACTGTCCTGCAGTGACGACAGCGGTGATGTAAGCTCCTCGGCCAATCAGAGCAGAGATAAATCTTTTTTTTAATCCCCTGATGAAACAATCATCTGCTCAATGACATCAAAAGTTGGACCTGCAGAGTCATTGCTCATCTAAAGTTTGAAAGCAAATGGCTTCACGTCATAACATATTTATCACAGGAGTTTTATCCTTTGCAAATATTAGTCTTGCACGACTGAGTTTTTCCTTCTAGAAATAGAAACATCACATTTGTGTCTCAGTTTGACCTTTATTTCTCTCTCTTTCTGCATCCTCCGTCCTTCACTCTAATCCTTTTCTGCCTTGTCATCTCCTCTTTACCCTTCTTCTCTTCCATCTTTACTTGACTCCCTCTCTCCTGCCCTCCATTATCCTCGCTCCCATCTGATTTAACTCCCCAGTGTCATTCCCTTTGTAATGCATGGGCTCTGGCTGCAACAGAGGTAACAGACATGAAGGTCAGCAGCCAGACGGGGAGGTGTGCGAGTGCAGCTTCAGGTATGTGCAGCACACGAAGAGGTCATGCTGCAAACATGCTATAAATATGTGCATTGAAACTTGTTTAGTATGCTAATATGATCTTCTGACTCAGTGATGCAAAATCTGGCTTTTCTCTGACATGCGGAGGATAAACGTGCAACAGTTTATGTACATTTTACTGTATAAGTTGTTTCGGTAATAAAAAAAAGAGCTGTTTAAAAAGTTGAGGCTCACTGAGGAAGTAATTCTGTCCCAGGGGCAGCAACATGTCTGACAACACCAGTCCATCGGAAGCCTGCAGGAACCACATGGTGGTGCCGTTCAGGATTGATGAACGGAGAAATCCATCTTCACTCACTCGCCACAGCACTGGAGCTCCACTGGCATTCACCACCACCCTGTTAGGGTGGAACAGACAGGAAAGCCTGAATACTCTCTATGCTGGTGCTTACGCTCTTATTATTGTATGTCTAGTGTTAAAGGTAAGGTTTGAAATAAACCTCAGAACCATTGTTATAATCTGTAACCCTTGTTATAATCCAACAAACATTTGAGAATTGTGAATAGACATGGATTTGAGGTCTTATTTCCCAATAATCTGACATCTCGCTTCTGATTGGGTTAACAGCAACACTACGCTACCATTTTGCTTTGGAATGTTGATGTTTTATCTCCACAAATAACTCAAGCCTGAAGGAGTTCTGCCATGTTGCTCATAGCTACTAGTTGACACATGCGCTGCTGTCTCCTGGATGCTAACTTAGCAACAGCCTTCCCCCTCATGAGCAAAGATGGGTGAGTCCATGATTGCTAATTTACAATGTGACATAGATCTGAATGACTTTTCCCCATCTACTTTCTATCAGTGGCAAATGCAGGAAACAGGTAAAAGTTTATTTTCATGTTCAGTCTGCATGTTAGACTCAGAATGACGATCATATTAAAAGAAATACAACTAAAAATCTGTTTCTCAGTAAACTTGGTCTTTAAGAAATTCTGTTAAAAATATCAGATTAGTTTTGTTAAAGGGAGACTAGGCAGTTTTGGTTTGTTTTTAGCACCCCCTAGTGTTCATTTGCAGAACCAAAAGCTACATCTATCTCCTCGCTGTGCGTTTATCTTTTTAACACCTTACTCTAACAGCTGAAACGTCTCCCCAGCCTTCATTAGTGTCTACAGGAGTGATTCATCACTAAATTAAACAAATCAGCTGTGCTCATGATCTAAAACATGCAAGGAACGTGCTGGAAGCAGAATAAAGCACCGGGGATGTCAGCTCAATTTTTTTCTAAGTGCAACAGACCTGACTGGCACTCAGAAGTTGCAAATGCGGTATTCTGGCCACATAGGGCGATGGGTGTTTTAGCAACATTTCATTAACCCTTTAAAGGGTCATTTTAGCACATGCTGACTCAAGAAAATTATTATTAAAGAATTGTATAGTATCCCATTACTGTTCAGGGTCAGGGGGAGAATATCCCTGGAAGAGAGATATTAATACATATTTATTATACTTTTAGGGAGGTTGAACTGGGTGCAGGTTCTTTCTATTTTCATGTTCAGGTCAGGTTTCGAGATCCTTTCTTTTGTTTTAAAGAATGTTTTATTTGTTGCCTTAGTTTGGTTTTTCCTGAGGCTATTGCTAAATGCTTTTCTGTTTTTGAAAATGTCAGAAAATTATCTGCTAAAAATATAACTTTGTCTCCTTGCATCCATATTATAGACATTTGCTCTCCAGTCAGGGTTCAGTATCTTACAGGACTCATCATGAGGAGAGAACCCCAGACCAAACATCCGTCTAAACCTTCCCAAATACTTGGGAAAAATGAAGAAAATATGAGAGGGAAGTGGATTTGAGCTGGATCACTTCATTGAAAGCCTTCGTGGTAGACAGATGGTGCAAAGTGGAATCTGTCAGCTGTAATGGTTAGATGACACAGAGAGCCCCTCTAACCCAACTTCCACTCTGAATTAATCTTTCTCACATTGACTAAAACAAATAAAACATCCTGTTATTATCCTCTCAAACCTTGCTGTTGTGCATTTGGTCTAATGAGTGTTTACAGCCTACAAGGGCTGAGATGAATAGTTTTATTACCTCGACTGAATGTGAATGAATGAATGAATGAATGAAAGTCACACCACTGAAATTGCTTTATCGGGAAAAATAAGGTTATAAGAGACTTCTGTGACTTGACAGAATCAGATTGCTCATGTGAGAAAGTTGAAAGGAGGAAATATTTCTAACATAAGAAAGAAGGGATTCCCTGAGAGACGGTTTATTTTTCAGGTAGCTCTGAGGAGAGAAGGTGTGTTGGAGCACGTCACAGATGGATCCATGCAGACGTCCCAAAGTGCTGCGGTAAAGAGAGCCGAGCCTGTAGAAGGAGCTGTGTGACCAAAATATTAATCTGCTGGTTTGGCTACTTGAAGCTGAAATAAGTTTTCCTTTGTAGGGTGTCTGTGCTCAGCTGGAGGGGCAACACGCAACATGAGGAGCTCAGATATCTGGAGAGCTACAGATGCTTCACCTCTAAAGGAGCCGTGTCATATTAGCAGTGTTGGGAAAGTTACTTTTAAAAAAGTAATTAGTTATAGTTACTAATTACTCTGTCAAAAAAGTTACTCAGTTACTTACAGAGTTACGAGATTATGAAAGTAACTAATTACCAAAAAAAACTACTTAGTTACCTTTTTCACTAAATGCAAGAAAAATGGGTTAATTAAACTTACTTCATTTACTATAAATTACTACAATAGTGAAATATAAATGACTAATGACAGGAACATAATAAAATGTAAGTCCAAATGTTTTTACAAACCTGAATAATTTAAATAAATAAGCACTTAACAGGAGGACCTACTAACAGGAACATTACACTTATCTAGACTATTAAAAGGTCACTGTGTGATAATTAACAAGAGCCCAATCAGATCAAATTTATAATTGCAAATAGTAACACCTGTAAAGGTTCCCGAGCCTTTAAATGGTCTCTCAGTCTAGTTAAATTACAGAAATGAATGCAATTTTGCACAGCATTTTAATTTTTCCAGCTTCACATTGTTGTGTGCTTTTAGTAGTATTTATGTTGCTGGTAATCTAGTAAAGGTTAAATAAATAAATAAAAATCCTTTAAAATGACACTAGAAGAGGCACAAATCTGATGGACGACTTAAATGTACTAACTTGGTTCAGAGTGCGTCTGTCAGAGGTCAGACGTGTTCCAGCGGAACCACACAGGTAGTTCTAATAACACCTGAGCTCCATGTCGTCTGAGACTGATGAATCAGTGTTACAGCGGGACTAAAGACATGATCAGAAACAGGTTACAGCTGGATGATCTAGGAAGGTAGAAGATCAGGACGTCTGAGTGGTGAACAGGTGAGCGAACCTTCAGGATGTACCGCTGTCACGCTAAGAAGGGCGTAGACTATTCATCACGTCTTCCTCGTTCTTCACAGGCCGTGATGCGTTTGGATGAAAACATCTGCCTCTTTAGCTCCTGATCAGCTGATGACAGCTTCAACACACTGCGCTGCTTAACACATGCTTTTTCTTATCAGTAACAGAAACAACATTTTCATAAATGAAGACGGTATGTAATTAAATTGCTCGTTACTGAAAAAAATTTTTTTTTATTAACGTGGTTATTTTAAACGGTGTTTTTCCCATCACTGCTCTGTTGTGTCTACAGCAGGCAGTGACTGAGACAGTGAGAACACCGAGGGTCTCCGCCCACCCGGCCAATCATCATCGTGTTTGTAAGAGCGTTACCGACACCTCTCTCTCCCTGGCTGCAGCTGAAGTGTGGCAGTCAGACAGCCTCACACTGCTGCTCAACGTTCTACAAGCACATAGTAACGCACGACCTTCCATCCCCAGTAACGGTAACGGCGTTGCAAGAGTGGGAAAAGTAATTAATTAGATTATTCCGTTACCTAAAAAAGAACGCCGTTAGTAACGCTGTTATTTTCAACAGCATTATTCCCATCACTGCATATTAGTAGGGCTCTTCTTGGTCCTTGACTATTGATCTGTCTGGATGACAGCTACTGTTAGATAAATACTGATATTATTATTATTGAACTAATATTAATGTCTTGACTGCTCCTTATTAAAAACGCAGCTTCATCCTGTTGACAGATACCAGGCTCCACCACTTCCTACTGGGAGGAATGACCTTGCCTCAGAACCGACTTTTATCAGTAAAACTCCCTTGAGAAAGTCTAGCAATTGCTTTTGTTGATTTAGGGTGCACCTGGAGCTTTAGAAGTTTAGACTCCCTTCAGAGCTTTCCCGCCTGAGAGTCTAAGGAATGACAAATGTGTGTGCTTAATAAATACTGTCAGAGGACTCCCGGTCCGAGGAGAGTGAACTGCAACCTTGTCTGGTGTATATTCTTCCTCTCCACTTTGCAAAGTCTAAATTGATTGTTTATTATTGGTATTGGTGTTGATTGATTGATTACTATAACCCCCTGTGCTTTAAACTTTCCCTAAGGTAATCTTGGATTGATAAAATTACCCAACAGCTACCTTATCTGTCACTCACATTTTCAGCAGCCGTGTTTAAGAGTTTTATCATAAAAATCATTTATGAAGGAAACATCTCTCCGGGTCTCCATCACAGCCTCCGTCTCTGGGTGCGTTCAGGTCCTGTGTGCAATTACACAATGTGAAAACAAAGCAGCAGAGGCTGATTAGCACGCTGCTCGTAGCTCTTTGTCTGAGATTGTCACCGCTGCCCTTCATCGTGCCTCTCATCTATAATGAGTATAACTTCAAGGATGTCCAGCGTTCACCTTCAGCATTTCTTTTACATAATTCATTGACCCTTGTTTATTTGGCATTTATGATACTGTTTCTGGGTGATTGTGCTGTTAAAGTCAAAATGATATGCACAAATAAAGCAAGAGTGGATGGTAAAGTTTCATGATAAACTTTGTAAG